GGGGGGGGGGGGGGGGGGGGGGGGGGGACAGGCGGACTTTGTGTGTGTGGGAGGCTCAGCAGTCCATGTCACAACCCCTCCCCACGCAGGCTCAGAGCCCAAATCCCTGCAGCCACAGACACGTGCCCTTGTCCGATGTAAGCCATAGTGGGGGCCGGGGGCCAGTGCCTCATGCTTCTACTCCTAACTTCTCAGAAGGATCATGGCTCAAAGCTAGCCAGGGCAAGAAAGTCTATGAGGCTCTTATCTCCAATAAACAATCCAAAAAAGTTGTAAGTAGGGCTGTGGATCAAGTAGTACAGCACTAGCCTTGAGCAGAAGCAGCTCAGGGACAGAGTCTAGGCTTTGAGTTCAAAGTTCAGGACTGGCAAAAACAACAACAACAAAACCACTAGTGGGAGACGCAGTCCATTCTAAGCCTTTGTCCTGCCAGCCCGGGCAGCTCAGCCACTGCACCCCAAGCCTTGTGGGTGTCTATTATGGGCCATCTGAACGTGGACCAGGAGCTATGGGAGGGCTCCTCAGACAGGGCTCGGGGCTCCTTGCCTGCGCAGACCTCGGAGCCCATCCCTGACAGCATGCCTGGCCCTCTGCAGGCAGAGTCCCCCACAGACATTTGGTTGCGGCTCTGAGTGACAGAACAGGGGCTGCCTCAATACCTCACGCTTCACCGTGCCAGGGCACCAGGCGCCAGCTCAGAGCCTGTGCCGTGCTGGGCCCCTGGCCCTAGGCCGTGGGCACCATCCCATAGGGAAGGGATGGAGCTGCCCAGCAGCTCCCTTGGGCGAGTCCTGGGCCTGGGCAAGGTCACGCAGACCCCTGCACCCCAGGGCTTCTGGTGCAGCCCTTTCTGCCCCTCGTGGGGCCAGACCCAAACACTAGCTCTTTCCATTTGCTATTTGCTTTGCCTCCGTTTCAAGTTGACTCTGTAATCTAGCCTTCCTAAACAACAGTCGCCACAAACTCATACACTGAATACAAATTTTAGGTGATAGGCATTAAAACCACTGCTACTGAAGACACTGGAGTGTCACCTCGGGCCCCTCTTCTCAACCTCAGGATTCCACAGAGGTACCCCACCTGTCCCAGCTCCCCCAGACCCTGTGGGACTGTGTCCCTGACCTCCTAGCCTTCCCCAGAGGTTAGGGGCCCAGGATGACCTGTCCCTGGGCTGGGGACCCAAGAGCACAGAGACCAACATGCTTCCAACATACCTCAAACCCCACCCCTCCTGCTCCCTCCCGGCACCGTGAGGCAAGCTGGCCAGCAGCCTCGGCCTTGCAGGGAACGAACGCCCCGTGAGCAGCGGCTGCACAGGAGTCGGCCTCCAGACCCCCCACGGTGCCTCCTGAGTAGGACTCAGGGAAGCAGCCAATGCCCATCCGCTGCAAGTTGGGTGCTGTGTACTAGAGCAAGCCTGTACCCCAAACAGCCCAGGAACCCTGCTCGCCAGCCAGGAGCCTGGCACCCTGCCACCTCGTTGGGTTTTGTTTTGTTGTTTGGGCAACACTAGGGGTTAAACTCTGACCTCACACGTGACTGCCTTACTCGCTCATTTTGCTGGTGCTCTACTACTTGAGGCAGACCTTCGGTTAGGGATGTGTGTGTGTGTGTGTGTGTGTGTGTGTGTGTGTGTGTGTGCATGTGTGCATGCACACGCACACGCAGGTCCTGGGGCTTGAACTCAAAAGCCTGGGTGCTGTCCCTGAGCTTTTATGCTCAAGGCTAGCACTCTACTACTTGAGCCACAGCTCCACTTCCTGCTTTTTTGCTGATTGATCGGAGACAGGAGTGTTGTGGGAAATCCAGACAGGGAAACAGCACCAAGGCTTCCGGGAAGCAGTATTTACTGTGCTCACACTGTCTTCAGCGAGTTTCGACCATAAAGGCTGGAGCCCTAAGAACACGGGGCTCTGCCTTCTATGCTCCAGCGAGCAGGTTACAGAAGCAAGAAGCAAAGCTCATCCACACGGTCAGCGGCGGTCCCACCGGCTGCCCCGCCTCCACCTGTCTCCCCTTGGGTCTCTGTTGCCATGTTTCAGTTTCTTGTCACTTCGACCCCTTCTCCAGAACACAGGCCAATGAACTTAGGCAAGTCTGTTCCTTGCCACTCAGCCTTCCTGCTACAAGAATCTCACAACTTATCGTGCCCAGGCTGGTTCTGCACTGTGATGTTCAGCTCTCAGCCTCCTGAGTCGCTGGGATGACAGGCGTGAGCCGCCGTGCCTCGGCCCCAGCCAGGCTCCCGGCTGGCCCCTTTGGAGATGGAGCCTACCACTACCATACTTTGTGCTATCCTCAACCCATCATCTGGCCTCAGCCTCCTGCGTGCCTGGACTGCAGGCTGACCCTCAGTGCCCAGCACACACTGTTCAGCTTTCTGGAGGAAAATGAAGGTTCTTACATAAGGACTCTGCCAGGGTCATAGGGCGTGTGGGCCAGAATACTGGCCAGGTCTGATCCCACTGTGGTGCTGTGGGACAGCTGGCCTGGTGAGTGGCGCCAGTGTCCGCGGGCTCCCCCGGACGGGCCGGCCGGCACGGCGGGCTGTCAAGGCTGAGGGGAAGGGCACACAGGGAGTTCTGCCTGGCTGTCAGTGCTGGCCCTGGACAGCCGGGGAGGCCACAGTGACCAGCCCGCCACACCCCAGCCCCCCCTCCCAGGAGGGGGCCCCGTCTCACCCCAGCTCTCTGGTTTGCAGTCTGTGTACGAACGCCAAGGGATCGCGGTCATGACGCCCACCGTTCCTGGGAGCCCGACGGGCCCATTTCTGGGCCTCCCTCGAGGCACGATGCGAAGGCAGAAGTCCATAGGTAAGAAGCCTGGCCCGCCCTTGGCCTGCAGCTGCAGTCCCCGGTGCCCCGGGGAGTCCTGGGCCCTGGGCCCCTAGACGCCCTCCTCCCCTCGGGTCACCGTGTGAACCCTGAGGGGTGGGAAGTCCAGGGTGCTTTCTCTAATCTAGAAGCCAGGTCATGTGTGAGGGTCCGGGCAGGTGGAGAGGGTGGTGTGGAAGGAGGGAAGGTGCAGGGTGGGAGGGCAGCAGGCAGGGTGAACAGACGCCCTACGGTCCGTTTCCTAGGACGAGCTCAAGAAACAGACTTCTCCGGGCAGCCGGGTCAGTTCTTGAACGCAAATGAAACTGTGCCCTGTGTGTTGCAGAAAGCAGCTTGCCTACCTCGCTCACACCCCTCACCCCCACTGACGCGGGGGCAGGCCAAACGAAGCCCGACCCCCAGAGACGGTCCCTTTGGTTGAAGCTACCAATAACCTCCCCAGCAGCCCAGGCCACTGCCATTCCCGGTGGAACTTGTGGTGGGAAAGAAGTGTTATGTGCGGCTCTGCCTCAGCTCCGGCTCAATGCCAGCCCAGGCCAGGCCAGGCCAGTCCCAGGCCAGACCAGTCCCAGGCCAGCCCAGTCCCAGGCCAGCCCAGGCCAGTCCAGACCAGTCCCAGGCCAGACCAGTCCCAGGCCAGCCCAGACCAGTCCCAGGCCAGCCCAGGCCAGTCCAGACCAGTCCTAGGCCAGACCAGTCCCAGGCCAGACCAGTCCCAGTCCAGACCAGTCCCAGGCCAGCCCAGGCCAGTCCAGACCAGTCCCAGTCCAGACCAGTCCCAGGCCAGACCAGTCCCAGGCCAGACCAGTCCCAGGCCAGACCAGTCCCAGGCCAGACCAGTCCCAGGCCAGCCCAGGCCAGTCCAGACCAGTCCCAGGCCAGTCCAGAACAGTCCCAGGCCAGTCCAGACCAGTCCCAGGCCAGTCCAGAACAGTCCCAGGCCAGGCCAGACCAGTCCCAGGCCAGACCAGTCCCAGTCCAGACCAGTCCCAGGCCAGCCCAGGCCAGTCCAGACCAGTCCAGACCAGTCCCAGGCCAGACCAGTCCCAGGCCAGCCCAGTCCCAGGCCAGCCCAGGCCAGTCCAGACCGGTCCCAGGCCAGTCCAGACCGGTCCCAGGCCAGTCCAGGCCAGTCCCAGGCCAGTTCCAGACCAGTCCCAGGCCAGTCCCAGGGAACATGGTTCTGTGTGTTCTAGAAATGCTGCTGGAGGCAGGGCTTACTTGTTCTTGTTTGGGGAGGAGGCAGCAATAGCTGTCAGTGACCTAGTGGTTTCTGCCACCCATGAAGCTTGCCACTCCCAGTGGCTGCCCGCCTTCCCTCCCCCTCTCCCTCCCCCTCCCCCACCCCCTCAACCCCCGCAGGGCTCACAGCACCTCCACGCCTCCACGCACCTCTGGATCTGTACTGGTTAATAACGATTGATCTCCCCCTCAGACAGCAGAATCTTTCTATCAGGTCAGTGAGCCTTCCGCTCAACAATCTGTACTTTGAATGTACCCCAGGTTATAAGGTGTATTCTTAAATTATTACTCCTTGGGAAGGTAAGACCGCCAAAACAGAGGCACTACTACTCAACTAAGAACCTGATCTTTGAATTGCCAAATTATCCCCCATAGGAGTATGTTAAATTTGGAATACCCTTATCATTGGAATAAATGGCTGTATTTTGTCCTGGGGATTCACCCTCCCCCCCCCCAGTAATTCGTTTTGCTGCCTCTTTGGGAAACCCGCATGTCCCCACCCGAGACCCTGGTCCTTGGTGTCCGTCGCCATGCACTGCTTCTGTCTGTGTCTGTCTGTGTCTGTGTCTGTGTCTCCATTTCCCCAGTCTGCAGTCACACTGGGTGACACCGTGACCACAGCAGGGCCTTGCCAGTGCTTTTGGAGATGGAGTTTGATGGACCCACTCTCACTCCTGTTCAAAACCCACGTGCTTTCATTAATCAAAAGTCTCAGAACGTGACACTGATCTCATGCCGGTCAGCTGCACTGGGGCCCTGGTTAACTCATGATAAGCTGCCCCACCTCGAGGCCCTGTTCCAGAGGATGCACAGTTTCCATGGCAACTCAGCCAGGGCCGGGCAGACCCGTTGCTGCACCTTTGCCCAGGACCCCACCCCTGGTTTGAGCTGGAGGCACGCTCCAGACCAGACTCGCCCTTCCTCTGAGCCAGCCTCCTGCACCACCCTGGCTGTGGACCCCGGCCGGGCTGCAACGCACACCGTCCTCACCGTGGCCTGCCAACGTCAGGCGACAAAGCCTTCTCAGAGACCACGAGCAGCACCAGTGCCTCCTCTCCACGTGCCCAGGACCACTAGCTTGCAGCCAGCTCTCCTGACAGGCGGCGGGTCGGCCTGGGAGCCAGGCAGGCACGATCACGCTCAGAAGCCATTTCAGCAGCGGTTCAGCCCTCTGCTCCAAACACATGAGCAAATTCAGCAAGCCCTGCGGTCCTAGTGTAGGGACAGGTGATAAAACTTGAGGCCTTCAGGGACCCTCAGCCAGGCGAGCACGGATGGATGCCTGCTGCTCTTGCCAGCCGCCTTCCTCCCGCATGCACACCTACACACACACACACACGCACGCACACGCAATCACGGGGAGGTCAGACGGCCAGGGTGTGAGCTGGAGACCTGCCCGTGGCCCGTCCCTCTGGTCTCAGAGTGGACACCACGCGCACCCCCTCCACGCATGCACGTGAACACGGCTCCTGTGTGCAGCATGCGTGCACAGCGCCCCCAGCCCTGCGCTTTCCTTTGTTTTGCTTCTTGGCTAACGCGGGCATCACTGGCCTCGCGCATTATGGCTTGCGCTGTGTGTCATCACAAACCAGTGTCGCCGCATCTGTGAGCTGTGGAGATGCAGTGTGTTGCTCAGCCCTGAAAGTGTGCGTGAGGCGTCTGTGTGCTGCTGTGCTGAACGTGGCCTGTCTTCTCCTCGCAGGAATCACGGAGGAAGAGCGGCAGTTCCTGGCCCCTCCGATGCTGAAGTTCACCCGAAGCCTGTCCATGCCAGACACCTCGGAGGACATCCCCCCTCCGCCGCAGTCTGTGCCCCCATCGCCCCCGCCGCCCTCCCCCACCACCTACAACTGCCCCAAGTCCCCGACTCCAAGGGTCTATGGGACCATCACGCCCGCATTCAACCAAAACGCGGCCGCCAGGGTGTCCCCAGCAACCAGATCCGACACCGTGGCCACCATGATGCGGGAGAAAGGGATGTTCTACCGGCGCGAGCTAGACCGCTACTCCCTGGACTCGGAAGACCTCTACAGCCGCAGCGCCGCACCCCAGGCCAGCTTCCGCAGCAAGCGGGGCCAGATGCCGGAGAACCCGTACTCAGAGGTGGGCAAGATCGCCAGCAAGGCCGTCTACGTCCCTGCCAAGCCGGCCAGGCGCAAGGGCATGCTGGTGAAGCAGTCCAACGTGGAGGACAGCCCCGAGAAGACGTGCTCCATCCCCATCCCCACCATCATCGTCAAGGAGCCCTCCACCAGCAGCAGCGGCAAGAGCAGCCAGGGCAGCAGCGTGGAGATCGACCCCCAGGCCGCTGAGCCGCCGGGCCAGCTGCGGCCCGACGACAGCCTGACCGTCAGCAGCCCCTTCGCGGCCGCCATTGCCGGGGCTGTCCGCGACCGGGAGAAGCGGCTGGAAGCCAGGAGGAACTCCCCGGCCTTCCTCTCCACCGACCTGGGGGATGAGGATGTGGGCCTGGGTCCGCCGGCGCCCCGGGCGCGGCCCTCCAAGTTCCCCGAGGAGGGCGGATTTGGTGAGGAGGATGGTGCTGAGCAGCCCGTGTCGCCCAGCCCAGGCGCGGCGCCCAGGGAGCCGGAGAACCACTTTGTCGGTGTTGGGGAGGCCAGTGCTCAGGGGGAAGCCGCGAGGCCCCCGAATTCCATAGCCAAGGCCAAGGGGCCCGAGAGCGGCCCGGCACCCGTGGCCAGCCCCGAGAATTATGTCCACCCCCTGACAGGGCGGCTCCTGGACCCCAGCTCCCCGCTGGCCCTGGCGCTGTCTGCGAGGGACCGGGCCATGAAGGAGTCCCAGCAGGGGCCCAAGGGGGAGGCCCCCAAGGCTGACCTCAACAAGCCCCTCTACATTGACACCAAAATGCGGCCCAGCGTGGAGGCCGGCTTCCCTCCGGTCACCAGGCAGAACACGCGGGGGCCCCTGCGGCGGCAGGAGACGGAGAACAAGTACGAGGCGGAGCTGGGCAGGACCCGGGGGGCCGAGGACAAGAAGAACATGCTCATCAACATCGTGGACACGGCCCAGCAGAAGTCGGCCGGCCTGCTGATGGTGCACACCGTGGACATGGCCAAGGTGGGCCGGCCCCTGGAGGAAGAGGAGGAGAAGCAGGACGTGGACCTGAAGCCAGACCACTCGCCCTCCGCGGTGCCGGAAGGCGTTTCCGAAACCGAAGGTGCTTTACAGACCTCCGCTGCCCCCGAGCCCGCCGCCGCGCCCGGCAGGACCATGGTGACGGCGGGCTCCCTGGAGGAGGCGGTGGTCTTGCCATTCCGCATCCCTCCTCCCCCCCTGGCGTCCGTGGACTTGGATGAGGATTTTATTTTTACAGAGCCATTGCCTCCTCCCCTGGAATTTGCAAATAGTTTTGATATTCCCGATGACCGTGCCGCTTCTGTCCCCGCTCTCACCGACCTGGTCAAACCGAAGGAAAACGACACCCCTCCGACCCCTTTGCTGAGCTCCAGCCCGCCAGCCACCTCTGCAGACAGGAAGAAGCCAGCCGGCCTCTCCAACTGTCTGCCTGCCTCGTTCCTGCCACCTCCTGAGAGCTTTGACGCCGTCGCCGACTCTGGGATCGAGGAGGTGGACAGCCGGAGTAGCAGCGACCACCATCTCGAGACCACCAGCACTATCTCCACAGTGTCCAGCATCTCCACCCTGTCTTCCGAAGGTGGGGACAGTATGGACACTTGCACAGTCTATGCAGACGGGCAAGCGTTTGTGGTGGACAAGCCCCCCGTACCTCCGAAGCCAAAAATGAAGCCCATAATTCACAAAAGCAATGCCCTTTACCAGGACGCACTGCTGGAAGAGGACGCGGATGGCTTTGTCATCCCCCCACCCGCGCCGCCGCCACCCCCGGGCACTGTCCAGTCCGGGGTGGCCAAGGTCATCCAGCCAAGGACCTCCAAGCTGTGGGGTGACATCACGGAGGTCAAAAGCCCGATTCTCTCAGGCCCAAAGGCTAATGTCATTAGTGAATTGAACTCAATCCTGCAGCAAATGAACCGAGAGAAATCGGCAAAGCCAGGGGAAGGACTGGAGTCGCCGGCCGGAGTCAAGCCTGGCAGCCTTGCTCCAAGGTAAGTCCACAGCTAGCCGGGACGCATGCCGTCCGCAGGTGCCAGCCCGGAGAAAAGCCCATAGGCAGCAGCCCCAAGCAGACGAGAAGAGGGGACTCGCCACACCCGTGCTGGCCACACGTGTTAGGCCGTGGCCTTGAGTCTTCTGCCATCCTCCTGGACCCCAGGACCCTAGTCCAGGCCACAGACACCCTGGCAGCATGCGACACACACACCTAAAGACTGACCAGGAGACAAGTCACTGCACACACACCCCCCACCCCGGGGAAGCTCAGCTCTGCACTGTGCCCTTCAGCTCTTTGCTAGGAGCACCCTGAAAACAAGCAGTCTTGCTAAACCCAAATAAGCTTCACATCAGTTGCGAGAGAGTAGCTGCGTCGAGTGGGGGTGGTGAGCGCGTGGGGCGGGGGCGGGGGCGGCGGAACGCGGGGGAGGGCGCAGACCCACTGGTGGTGGGAGGAGGGAGGCTCTGAGGGCTGGGGCGCTGTTTCTGGTGAATTCACAGAGGAACGCAGGCCTCTCTGCCAGCTCACCCCACTCCAGCATCACAAGGAAAAGCCTCCGGCTGTCCCTAGTCAGCCATGGGTGGCAGCACGCAGGGTTTAAGCATGAAATGAATGATTTCTGAGCCGCTCGGGGATGGCAGCCCTCGCAGCTCCCGGCCGCGTCTCCCCCTGGGGGACCGGCCCCGGCCCAGTGCGCCCAGGCCAGTGTTCCTCGGGTTTCATCATGGAGACTAATGAAGCCTCCTCATCCTCCCCCTGCCCCTGGGCAGGCATCTGATTCAAACAAGCGAACTCGGTCATCAGCGAGATCGCTCTGCACTCGGGTCCTGGGATGCAGGACACAGCCTGCCTTGGTCATGTCCACGGTGTGCACCACCGGCAGGCCGGCCTTTCCGTGTGACGCACACCACAGAGGAGCCGGCTGGCTCCCATGCCCTCCGCGCAGTACTGACTGGCAGCCTGGGAAGGCAGCATGCTGACCAATGCCCCGCCCCCCAGCCAGGTGGAGAGAACACCATGCCTTAGGAATCCCATCTCTGATGGACATGCGCACACTCACCTGCAAACATTACACACTGGGCTCGCAGAGCTCCTTGGTCTGCCGGGGGCCTCATCTCAGCGCTCTCCGCGTAAGGCATCTCCTCCTGGGCGTACAGTGTTGACGACCACACAGGAGGGCAGAGACGGGTAGTCAACCCATTTTTCAGAGAGGCTGAGTCGCTGGTCCCCGCATGGTGGAGCCAGAGCCAGGACTCAAACTGGCCCCTGCCTCCCCTCATTCGCACTGCTCTAGAGTAAGACGACCCACGGCTGCAGAAGCACATCCACTGTTCCGTGCTGGTGAGGAGGCGCGGTCTGCCCGGAGCCAGGGTCCCCGGGCGGCGCGCAGGTCCACCGCACAGGGCAGGTCCAGGGCAGCCTGAGTGCGCGGGCCACTCCTGGGCTGCCACAGCGGAGTGGGGCTCTACCTGTGCCCTTCTCTGGGTGCGTGTCCAGCAGTGAGGGAGGGGTCTCAGAGACCCCATCTCCAGGGAATCCTGGTAGACTGCTTGAAGAGAACAGCTGTGACCCACGCCTGCTGGTCAAAAGTCACCACCTCCTGGCCACTCTGTTCAGCACCCGAGTCACTCCGTGGGAGGGCCAGCCATCACCTATGAAGCGCCCACCTGCTAGACACCCTGTCTCACTGGCACCAGCAACAAGGTCTCTGCAGAGTCCCACTGCACAGATGAGAGGCTGGAGGCCAGAGCTGGGAAGCAGGGGCCTGCAGCGAAGGTGCAGAACCCAGGAGCTGGCTGGGCACGGAAAGGCCAGTACCAAATGAGCACCGGTCTGTGAGCCAGAGGGCCTGGAGGTCGCGGAGGGGACGGCGGAGCTGCTCTGAGGCTGGGAAAGCAGAGGCTCCTGGGAGGCCTGCGACCACCAGTGAGCAAGCACGGCCACTAGCTGTGACGTCACTGGCACCGCTGCTCACCCAGGGTCGTGGCAGCCTTTCCCGCCCACACCCAGGCCTCAGTGAAGAGCAAGGCCGCAGCTCTGACCCGCCTGTCCTTGACCTGAGAGCCCCACCAGGCAAGGCATCAGGGACAAGCCCCGGAGGATGCGACCCGCGCTGTGGCCAGCCAGGGGGACCACGCACGCCCTCTGGCACGGGCGCCTCGCTTCTTCAGACATGGAGCGTCCTGTCTGCTCACACCTACCGCTGATGTGCCCTCTCCACCACCTTCACTTCGGGTTACCCACGTGAGGGTACTCTCAAGCCTGGGTGCCTCACTGCCACTGTAAATGCATCTAAAAATTAAGAGCTATGAATTTCACTGAACAAAATGAGGCTTGAAAGTGGATAGAGGTTAGTCCTTCCTACCAGAAGAGGAAAAATGACAAGCAGCCCGGCTTTCTGAATGAAGACAGGCCGTGGTGCAAAAATCCATCTCCATAGAAACAAGTTTTGATCACCAAGAAGGAGGCAAGCTCCCATGGTCCTCAGGCCTCATTCTTCAGGTGGGCACCATAGTCCTTGAGTGTGCTCTAATACAGCTGCCTTGCCCTTGGAGCCTTTCTGGCGCTCCACACCTTGCTGGCCAGGACCCAGGAGGAGGTGGAGAACCGGATGCCAGGCTCTTTGCTTTTCTGGGTATGTTTAATTGAAGCAGTGTCAGGACTGAGCTTCTCCTCCTCGAAGTGGCTCCTCACATTGCGGATGGCATGGAGTTTGGAGACCTCGTGATTAAATACATCGTCAAAAGGAAGACAGGGGACTTTCTTCAGTCCATGGTGTCCGGGGCACTGAGCACCTGCAGGGGAGTCCACACCCAAGGTCTGCACAGCCAGCACTAAGGCACAGGCTTCCCGACCCATACCACTGGCCAGCTGCAGCATGGGTGTGGCTGCAGCGCCCGGCTCTCCTCTCAGGACTGGGGCGCGCACTGCAGCCCCGCTGCGCGCACGAGGATGGCTGTGCAGTGGTCCCACGCCCGGAGCTTGCACCGTGCTCTGACCTCCCGAGCCTCAGTTCCCCCTCCTCTCCCAGTGTGCTTGCTTCTTACATCACAGAAGGTGTTGAGCATCTGTGGTGTCCATGGCGTTCTGTGGTCTAAGAGCAGAGCACTTGGTACAAACAAGCTGCCCAGGTTCGGACCAATGTGCCCTCATCTTTGGGTGTGGGCTGAGCTTACTGGCCGGCAGTTCACCGAGCTGCTGCTCTGCCTGAGCCCTGCAGGCCTGGGGAGGAGCAGGAAGAGGACACGAGGACGCCAGGGCCCTCAGAGGATGGGCAGACTGGCACGCAGGCCTTACCACTGATCCACAAAACACGGCCCCTCTTCCCTTGGGAAGCTCGCGTTCCTGCAGTGGGAAAGGACAACAAACACTAACCAAAGAACCCCAAATGTGCTGAGTGTGGCGGGGAACCGTGGCAGGCTGGTGGCTGAGGGCAGCGGCTGTGAGGCAGTGGCATCAGGATACCTGGCGTGCACCTGCAGGCCCCTGGTGTGGGGGCAGGGAGCCCCGGGCAGAGCAGGCCACAGGAAGCATAAGTGTCAACCGGGGGGGACGAGAGCCATCAGACCGCGCCCCAGGCCCGGCACTGGCACCGCTGTGTGGCCAGGGGCATCCTAGGGTGTCCTGGGAAGGATGCTTTGGAGGTCTGAGCTCAAGATAAGGCGGGGCCTGTGTGCTGGAGACAAATCAGTGTCTCAGAACCCAGGAAACCACTTCCTAGACTGTGCTCACCCCCTCCACCCTGGCTGAGCTGTAAGAAACCCATGCTCCTCTCCCTCAGCCTCACTGAAGTATACCTGACAACACCAGGCTCGTGTGTGTGTGTGTGTGTGTGTATGCGCAGGCGTGCGCGTGCATGCATGTGTCAGTGTTGGGGCTTAAATCGGGGGCCTGGGTGCTGTCCTTGAGCTCTTTTGCTCAACACTAGTGCTCTGCCACTTGAGCCACAACTCTTCTGGCTTTTGGTAGTTTCTTGGAGATAAGGGTCTCATGGACTTTTCCTGTCCTGGCTGGCTTTGAACTGTGATCTTTAGATCTCAGCTTCTTGAGTGGCTCAGATTACAAGCATGAGCCACCGGCGCCTGGTCCAGGCATCATTTTTAAAGCAAAACGAGACTGTTCTTCTGTATTGGATTTGCACTGGCTCCATGGAGAAGAGAACAAGGCCGCAAGTACACGCTTGTGGGGGTTCCTGTGGCTTCCCCCATGGGCTTTCCTGGGCCAGGGGCCTGAGCATTGTCAGCCCTCTGATGATGGGCTGAGGATGGTGAATCCAACATAGACCAGAAGTTGGCATGGACCTCACTGAGGCACAGACTCTGGTGAGAGAATCGTCCACGGATGTCCGGGTCTTAGAGGACCCCCCCAGGGGCTTTCAACTGCCCAGAGGTCCACCTTGTCCAGCTCTCCACCCTGCACCCACTGACAACAGTGCGCACCCCTATTCCCGTGTCCCACGCCCGTGGCAGGCTCTGCGTGGCCATCCATCATGTGGGCTGTTAAAATGTTCTCTCTGGCCAGCTGGTTCCAGAGCAGCACCTCCTAAATGGACGAGACGGCTGGGCATTTCATGCCACAGGCCCCCTGAGCAGTGACGGGCTGGGGAGGGGGGCGACCGGCGGCACTCAGCAGCTAGCTGAGCCCCTGCATGTCTGCAGACCAGCACAGGACTGCCCACTGCCTAACACGTGGCGGCACGTCTCATCTCCCCATCCGGCAGGAGCATTTCTCTTTGAAAGCTGGGCTCCTTCCTGCACTGCTGAGGTGTCAGCCCCCAGCAGGAAGCCTGGGTCCCCAGCAGAATGGACACCAGCCCCAAAGCAGCCCTCTCAGGCCTCAGGTCACCAGGCTGCCCAGCCGGGGAGACCAGCCTGAGACCCACAACCACCCACCTGACAGCGACAGGGGACTGGAGAGAGCAGGGCCCTTGGTGGTGCACAGCATCTCTGAGCCATCACGGGAACCAAGGGGGGTTCAGATGCCAGACGCGGGGAAACATGAGCTCCGCAGGAGAGAGGGGCACTAGCCCAGGCCCCAGTGGCAGGCCCAGGACAGGCATCTTAACAGTCCAGCATCCTGCTCTTGCTTCAGTGCCCATCACGGAGAGGCTGTACAGGCAGAGGGACTTCACACAACAAGGCTGGGCACTAAAGTCTGCAACAGAGACTTAAGAGTAGAGATGAGCCAGTTCACACCAAGAGTGTGAACTCCAGCAGTGGTGTAGGGTCATGGGGGACGGGGCAGGTACCAGGAGTCCAGGGCCCTGAGCAGCTGCGGGCCCCACTACTGTTCAAGGGCTGAACTGAATCTGCAAGCCATTTGCGTCTCTCAGGAAACAGCAGTGCCTCTCCGAGTGGCTCCGCTCCCTCTTGGGCTGCGTTTTCCCCCCTTATGTTTCTATATGAATTTAATTTAAAAGGCAGGCTAGAGTGATCAGCCAAGAAGGGGGTGTTTGTGAGTGTGTGTATGTGTGCCTGTTCTAAATCAGGGCAGCAGATCCCTGTGTGTTCCGCCGGCAGACCCGCGGTTGCTTAGCAACATAATGATCTGCGCATGAGGGAGGATCCAGTGAATCATATCGGTGTGATTCACGGGAGGGGATCAGGCTCTTGGGAAGACACGCGGTGGGCCAGCTGGCCAGGCCTTTGCTCCAGCTGCTCAGCTAGCTGTGCTGGGTGGACCCCAAGCCCAGGGCCGGGTCTGCCATCCCTGGGTGGGCTGACGGGCCGCCCTCTCATGGTGCAGACCGGGGCAAAGCCCAGATTCCACTAGAGATGCTCATTTGTCCTTCCCGAGCCACAGAAGGAAAAAGGTCTCCAGGGCCCGAGTTAGGGAATTAACAGTGAGCGGCTTCTGAGGTTTCCAGGAGAGACTGGAACCCTTCCTTCTGCCTTCCTGCCCTCCAGGGCTGTAATGTCAGAGGCCAAAGCAGGCAGGGCTGTGGATTTCCTGTCTGCTATGAAAGAGAGTGGCCACCCTCCAGATTCTGGGCTGGTGGGCAGCCTGCCAGGTTAAGGGCTGCCACGGACCCCGGCTCGGCCCAGGCCGGGCCATTTCATCCCACCCCGGAAGGAAGCTGCTGTGTTCTTGCTTTTTAATTGATTTTGCAGTGTTGTCTCATTTCCCTTTGCTCCCATGATGGGTGTTTGCAGAAGAGGGTCATGCTGAACAGAAGTAAGTGCCGCGTGCCTGCCGAGATGAGTGTCCTCTGTGTGCCACTGTCCTCGGGGTCAGCCTGGGCTGCAGGGGAAGTCCTTCCACGGCAGTGGGGTGGGCTCAGAGGCCCCGTCACGAAGGGCACGGGCTCGGGCCGATGCGGGTCGGAAGGGCTGCCGGGTGTTCCCAGCAGGACCACAGGACAGGCCGAGTGTCAGGATCAGAGCGCAGCCCCCACAAGGCAGTGTTAGAGAGCGCGCAGCCTTGCCGAGTCAGGCGCTCCTGCGGGACATGCTCCGCCCGCACATCCTCCCCGCTTCCCCCAGGCTCCTCTGCTCAGAGCCACGGTGTCAGCTCTGCTGGCCTGGCAAGTGCGGGCACTGGCCTCCACGCACGGATGCACCTGCGCCGTGGAGGGACCCTGCACGGGCTGGCCCTGCCATGCCGGCCATCCCACCTCAGCACCTACCCCCGCAGCTGCCCATGTGGGCTCCAGAGCCTCCACTCGGACTCAGTGGCAGGGTGTGGCAGGGCTTCCCGGGCCTGCTGGTGGGACCCCCTACCCGTGCAGGGGCGGGCTCAGGAACAGGCTGGTCACAGATGCCAGGGAGTGAGGGCTGGGGTCCTCACCCAGCTGTCCCTGGCCTGCGGTGCCCACCACCAGCCCTGGAAATCCTTCTCATAATAGGACGGACACTACACAAGGCCATGGCACGCTCTCCCTTCAGATGTGCCCCTCTTCCCTCATTCTGGAATGTTCCATACTTGAAATAATGACCAAATACGTTAACCCAAGCACCGTGAGGCTGAGAGCTTCCGGGTGAGCACCTGCCCGCACCCCCCCCCCCCCCCCCCGCAGCACATAGCAGGAAGAAAAGAAAAGCAGCCCAAAGGAAAGGGCCCCTGCGCTCGCTCCCTCCCTCCACTCCAGGAGCTTCTCACTTTGAGTGTCTGGCAGCCCTAAAGGGGCCAAAGCCGGTGGCTCACACCTGTAATCGTACTCAGGAGGCTGAGGTCTGAAGATCACAGCTCACAGCCAGCTGGGCTGGAAGGGTGCAGAGACTCTTCTCTCCAATTAACCCCCAAAAGCCAGATATGGAGCTGTGGTTCAAGTGGTAAAGCATCAGCCTTGAGCAAAAAACCCTAAGGGACCATGACAGCACTCAGGACCAGCACAACAGACAGACAGACAAAGGGCCTAAGCAGATGATGCCAATGCCCAGTGTCTGTATCACGCAGACTCAGGTCAGGGGCGTCTGGCTCATGGCAGACTCCAGCCCAGCCAGGAGGGGAGGGACACAGCCCGTCATCCCGCCCCATGACTGACACAGCTCAGGGCTCCTCACTTCCCACCAGCCTCCCCAGAGGTGGGAGCAAGCGAGGCCCAGGTTACACAGAAAGGCAGGGGGACGTGTGGGCTCCACCCACACCTAAACTGGCATTTGGCACATCCTGGCTCGACCAGATCCTGGTGGGTGGGCTGGTGAGCCTGGTGCCGAGATGTAGCCTCTGTTTCCTCTGCGGTGTGCATGGCCACGGGTGGGGGGGGGGGACAGCAGAGGGAGAAGCGGGCTCCACGGTGTTGCTAACATTCCTGGGTACGGCCACGCGCCTGCCAGGCTAAAGCCGGTGACAGAAGGTTTCACAAAAACCCACTTCCACACAGGTGAGCAAGGACAGGTGTGTCCTCCTCCCCTCCCCTTCTACTGAGACCCGGGAGGGGCTGTTCCTCCCCAGCTCCGAGGGGGAGAGGCAGGGGTCCTGTGGATGCCCATGCTCACCGCTGGGGAGAGGCAGGGGTCCTGTGGATGCCCATGCTCACCGCTGGGGAGAGGCAGGGGTCCCGTGGATGCCCATGCTCACCGCTGGGGAGAGGCAGGGGTCCTGTGGATGCCATGCTCACCACTGGGGAGAGGCAGGGGTCCTGTGGATGCCCATGCTCACCGCTGGGGAGAGGCAGGGGTCCTGTGGATGCCCATGCTCACCGCGGGAGGCGGGGTTCCCATCAGCCTCTGCTTCTGGTCAGAAGGTCATACTCTGCCAGTGAACCTCCCCTCGTCCTGCAGTGAACCTGTCCAGCGGGCATCTGAGAAGTCCTGGCTTAGGACAGACCAGCCACTGTAAAGATTAGTAGGTAGTTTCACTGGTAGCGGATGAAGTGAACACCATGTGCTATTCAGACAGGAAAAGAAGTTTATTTACAACCTGCTGCCCCCGCCATGCACATGCACAGTGGAGAGGCATGGCCAAAAGGGGAGACTCAACCCCCCCCCCCGCCCAACTCCCCGCACCCCCCCAACCCCCACCAGGACTTATCTAGACCAGGGTCAGGAAGAGGTATGGCCAGGTGGGGAAAGATGTGGCCACACTGAATCCAGATGTGACTTCAGGGCCTGGGACCCTCCTAAAGTCAGATGGGAGCCGTGGCCAGAGGTGGCCCAGGACGTGACCTAGCAGGAGGGGGAGGTGACTGCTTCCAGGTCTGCCAGTTACATAGGTAACAGATACTGGCCAGAGACTTAGCCAGGAGGTGGGGAGGCCTCTGCCCAGGGCCCGCATGGACCAGGCAGACCTGACACTGACCACACGAGCCCTGAGTGCCTTTAGCCAGGGCATCCGAGAGGCGCAGCCAGGCAGCGCAGAGCGGAGCTCTCCAGGGCACGTGGCCTCTGCCTGTGGAGACGGACAGGTGCCGTCACAGGCGCCCTCCACGCCCTGAGGGGATGCCCTGCCCGGTTCTCCTGGCGGGTCCAGGGCGGGTGCGGGGCGGGCTTGCTGTGCTGTGGTGCTCTGAGGCCGCTCTGCCTCCTGCTCCTCTCCTGCCGTCCCGGTGCAGGCGGCCTCGGCTCGGGGCCGGCGCCTCCTTGCTCCTCGGGACCGGCTGTAATGCTCTCTCTGTTGCTGTTTCAGAGGCGCGGAAGTCCTGAGCACTGTCTCAGGTGCACGCAGCACGACGGTCACCTTCACTGTCCGCCCTGGCGCCTCCCAGCCCATCACCCTGCAGAGCCGGCCCCCCGACTATGAAGGTAGGACCTCAGTCACGAGACGCGCCCCGAGCCCTGTGGTCTCGCCAACAGAGATGAGCAAAGAGGCTCTGCCCACCCCTCTGCCCGCCGCCGCCGCCTCTCCTTCCCCCACACTCTCCGACGTCTTCAGCCTTCCAGGCCAGTCCCCTGCCGGGGACCTATTTGGCTTGAACCCAGCACCCCGCAGCAGGTCACCATCTCCCTCAATACTTCAACAGCCAATCTCAAATAAGCCTTTTACAACTAAGCCTGTCCACCTGTGGACTAAACCAGATGTGGCAGACTGGCTGGAAAGCCTGAACTTGGGCGAACACAAAGAGACCTTCATGGACAATGAGATCGATGGCAGTCACTTACCAAACCTTCAGAAGGAAGACCTGATCGATCTGGGGGTGACTCGGGTCGGGCACAGGATGAACATAGAAAGGGCTTTGAAACAGCTGCTGGACAGATAAGGACGGCTGTTCTTCACCTTCACAGACGTTTTGTTATAAGTAGAGATGGGCTCATGCTGAAACATCCGATGGCCAAGCAGTCTGCGAGCACCAACTCCGCTCAAGGGTTTGTCTCCCGGTACCCAAAGAAGTGCTGAGGGTGTCCAGGGTGTGGCCAAGCCAGCGCCTTGAAATGTCCGGCTCCCTGAGAGGGGCTTTGTGGACAGCCTCTGTCCGACAAGGGGGGGGGCGGGGAGGGGTTTTCTAACACGGGGGGTCGCAGCACGCCTCCCTGCATGCGGTGGCCCGGCTTTGCCGAGCCCGGGGCTCCCGTGGAGGTCACGTGGGACCCCTGCTCGCATAGGCAGACACCGGTGCACTCCAGATACCTCCTGAGACCTCCCTCTTCCGCTTCCCGGGCAGCTCTCCCCACTCCCGGGCCCGGCACGTGGCCTTTTCTCAGTCCCGTGGCCTCTCGGAGGAAGCCCGCTGCTCACTTGCTCCTGTCTGTCTCCTGTGCTTTGTTTGCAGTGAGATGCTCCCAGACGGGTTTGGCCAGGTCCTCCTGGGCCTGAAAGGTAGAGACTCACTTTCTTCCTGTCCGAATCTTTGCCTGTCTCCTCCTGTGAGGTGCAGCATGGTTCTTTGCCCACGGGTTCTTGGCCATGGTGGGCATTTACATGGGATCGTGCCCAGCTTTGCTTAGCTCGCTTGCTTGCTTTCTGCCAATTGACTAGTGTATTTCCAAGGTGGCTAAGCAGATGTCACGCAGAGTTAGGTAAAGCACACAGTCTCGATCCCGAGGAGTGAGGCCTGCCAGGGGGCCGGCCAGGGCGCAGCCGCCCGGACCCTCAGCCTCCTCCAGGACAAGAACAGGCCTTTTTCCAGGAGCACCGACCTGGGAGGGCGAGAAGGGAGGGCTCGGCCGCTCACGGTTCCTTCCAGCCATTGAGGAAGGCCTGTTGAGCTCCGCACGGTTGGGGCAGGTAAGCATCCACTCTGACACGGACAAGAAGACACAGGCTTGAGGCGTGCACGTGCCGCTACCGGTGAGCCGGCATTCTCGGCCAGGAGCCGGCAAGCTGCCAGGCTCTCCACCTAAGCCTGGCACAGGCAGCATTGCCTCTCAGATGGCCCCACGGCTCTCAGAGGCCAAGCAAGGTGGACTGAGGGCCTTTCCCCCTTCTCTCGGGTGTCCAGGGATCCCACCAGCTTGTCTTAATAGTACCACAGGGTCTGAGAGAGGCCTGTGGGCAGGGAGCGGGGCAGGACCCAGGGCAGGGGAGAGGCGGGGCGGGGCACAGGATGCAGGGGAAGGGCAGAGGCACACAGAAAGGACATCAGGGCGCACCCCTGAACCTCAGCCCTGCCTCTGGCTGGGCTGCTAAGCCTGGCCCCTTCTGGCCCTGGGGTCTCCCCCACCCTCCCTCCCCAAAACCATACCTCTAACGTCGAAGGGAGGTCAGCAATGGCACACCGGCCACAGAGCACCCAGCCAGGCTTTCCACACACTCCCACACTTGGAGGAGACACGAGTGTCAGGTGTTTGGTTTTATTATGATTTCAGAACTAGCCCAGCCCATCTCTAATTATAAGACATGATTTCTTTTCTTTTCTTTATGCTCATGACCACGTGTTTGATGAGGTCTGGAACAACTCTAGAATGAACTCATAAAATTTAGCAATTTAAAAATCTCTTTCTTTACTGCAAGTTTAAATAGGTGTACAGATAGTTTATAAGCACAATATTTTAAGAAAAAAGTGGCTGGTCTACTGGGCAGCCTTTGTGCCACTTCAGTGCTAGAAAGTGAAAGAACAAAACTTTTGTGACTTACTGACACTATTTCTGTGGGATAATTATACAAGTAAGACCTTTTTAAATCAACTTTATCTGGACGCATCTGAACCAGCAGAGCTGTGTTATATTTTCTATCTTTGCTAGAACTTCATCGCTGAAAGACAATTATTTCTTCAAAAGTTGTTACAATTCATAATGCAGCAGTTTCTCCAAAAACAAAAGCAAAACACCCACGCCCCTCTCCTGCGCACGCATGCGTTTTTTTCTCTCCTCTCTTGCTCTTTTCTCTCTCTCTCCCTCCCTCTCTCTCTCTCTCTCAGTTTGGAGACCAAGTCTTTGACCTTATTCTGTTCCAAATCCTTTGGCAGGCCCATCTTTCCATTTGGTGATTTGATCCGCCCCGACAGGAAGCGAGCAGAGTATTAAATTAAGGCACTTTGCTTTGTGTACTTTCAGTTTTTCTACCACCTTAAGGCAAGTTAAGTATCACTCTAGAGAAATTCCAAACCCAGCCCCGCAGCGGCCACGGGGTGGGGGGCTGCCCCAGTGTCTCAGAAAATGGAAAATGGTGGTTCTACCATGTGTTTTGTCTTCCACTGGGCAACACTGCAAATTTTCCTCAGCAGCCACTTCAGCAGATCATTCTTTGCCTTCAGTTGGCATTACCTCTACAGTCAGTGCCAGGCAGGGTGCCAGACAGGAGATCTGGTGGCTCTGCGTCCACTAAACTTAGATGGCCAGTCAGTGACGACGGCTACTCCCTTCCTTACAACTCCAAGCCACATGCCACTAACCGGAAGCCTCGGGAGCTGACAGCACACGTGGTCCTGTGGCGCCTGTCAGAACCCGCACTGGCCAACAAAACACACACATTGCCAAGATGACTCACCCCTAGCTCTACCAGGTGATTCAGCTGAGAAAGCAATAGTCCCTCGTGTCAGTCGCTGCCCACTCTCTCCCTCCCCTTCGGCCCTGTCCCAGGACTCTCTCTTGTGGCGGGGCAAATGTTAAACTGCTCATATAATGATCATGTTAATATTATTCCAGGTTTTAAGATCCACTTTTGTTACATACTGTAATTTAAATAAATTGCATTCAAATGCCTAGTTTCTGTAAAATTGTGTATACAAAACCAAAATCTCAAGATGTAAATTATGTATACCTGCCAAGATACCTTTTCCAGGTGTCTGTGCACATTTAGGTTAATTCATACGCTATAAAAACTGATTCAATGTGACTGTTGATTTGCTGGACTTTACATAATTATTTGTGGTACCTTAGTTAATAAAATGGTGACTTTTTTCTGAGTTATTGAACAAGCAAACACTATCCAGTTGATCTGGCAACGACTTTTTGTGTGTGAGCCTCAAAAATTAATTTTCCCATTAACAATTTGTTTTTGTTTTTTGAATACGAATATGTTTCACACTATAGTTTGTGTAATGACACATGTTCGCATTATCTATGTTGCTGTTACTTTTGTGCTTTTGTTCTTTTTAGACTTTATTAAAAAAAAAAAAAAGCTCCTGTAATTTGCACTTTCTCCCAATCCTTAAATCTCTTGTATGGCAACCAAAATTACTGTAAAAAAAAATAAATATACTCTTGCACTAAGGTCGTGGTTCTGATTGCAAACAGTGAAAACTGAACTAAACAAACGTGGAGTTGCCAACCTTGCGATCTAACGTAGGATACTGGAAATGTCATAGCCAGCTTTACCTCTAGAAACTCACTGAGTATAAAGGCCTTTTTTTATTGATCTATGAGTCGTGGTTCCCTCTCCTTACGTATTTTCAATGTCTAAATGGAAATGTGTATACTATCTCAGAAATGTGCCAAATGTCTACATGGGCTTCTGTGACCGGGGGGCCCCGGTGCCCACAGGATGGGACTGAGGCCTGGCCTAGGCGCGCCCAGGAGTCTGAGCCGCTCTGCCAGTCCTCCTGCGAGGACAGCTGTCCCATGCCCCTGCACACTGCCTTCTAGCCATAAGGCCCGGCATAGGAGTGGCAGATCTGGGCAGCCTCTTTGGCTGACATAGCCCGACAACACTCTGATAAGCCAGCCACACACTAAAGCCTGGAGCAAAGAGAATGTGTGTCTTTTGGCGAAGAGCTGAGCCAGGAAGACCCGCACTGTTCTCTTGTGCTTCATAAGGAAGCTTGTGTTTAACTTCAAATACTGAACCTCTCCAGCTGCCTCAGTGGGAATGGGTTCTCGGCTTCTAAAGCTTCTTCTACTTTGACCTGTCCCCAATTCATGCAGAAGTCTAAATAATCCCTCAGCCTCTGTAGTTTTATCCCCTGCCTCACCTTCTAATAGTTCACCACCCCAACATCACAGCCAACCGTCTCTTCCAGACCTCTTTCTTACATGAAGATTAGAATGTCTTATTAGGGGAAACAAATTATTGGAAGACTTTTTCTTCTGCCTGAACTTGGACCCATTTGAATAAGCAGTGATCTGGAATGTATCTCTGTACCTGTGGTGATCGTGTTCGTGCGCAAGTGGAGAAATGCCTCGGTGGCCGGCGGGGCAGGCAGCTGCATGCACAGGGGAGCGCCGGCTTTGTGGCGGCGCAACCGACTGTCTCTGGACCCTCGACTTCAGCAGACCCCACCCTTACCCAGTTAGTGCACACAGTTGGTAACTGTTCCCCTCCACGCCCCGTGCCAAGTCTCCATGTCTTTACTGTTTTATGTTAAAATTACAACACTCACTGTTCATAGCTTCTACTCTGGAACTCTTGGTTCATAGCAATTCTGAAACTTTAATATGAGCCTTCCAATAAATACAGAGAAGAAAACAAAAGGAAAAAGGAAAGTGTGTGCCTTGGGTGTTTTGAACCTAATTTGCATAAACCATATTGTATTCAAATGCTGTGTATTTAATGAGAGGATGAACCTATCTTCAATGTATTAATGTAGCTGATAAAATAGTTATAGTGCCTTGTTTTCTGAACTGAGAAGCCCATATCAATGCACAGCGTAAATTAAAAATGATTGGAGGAGTGAAATGTGGAGAAGACCTCACCCTAATCTGGAGCCTTGCTCATCAGAAGACTGTGGAATATGCAGTCATTTAAGTTTGAAATAAAAACAACATTGAAACAACATTGTGTGATCAGTTAATTTCCCATTAAAATGCTTTCACTGCATCACGGTCAGTATTTTCATTTAGCTACGATACAAATGTGTCTGAGAATTTTCGTAGAGGTGGTTTTGACGGAGTCCTGGGCTTTCCGTCCTCCCTCCCTTGTGTCATGTCGCCCCCTGGTGGTTCTTGTCAGTAATACGCATCGAGGTCAGCGGCAGTCCTCAATTTTCATCAGTTCTCGCGTTTTGTTAAAGATGCACAAAATCTTCATGTTTAGTGATG